TCCTTCTGGCTCAGAGCTCAGGCACATACGTTGGAGGCAGGGTGGCTGGTGAAGTTTAAAGTATTAGTTGCTCTCAGTTACTCTTCAGGGTGATGGTCAACACAAGGGTCAAGCGCCACTTAAATCCCACTTTAAGACTTCAGAATAGGGCCTAGTGAGATTTAAGTGACGGCTAGAATTGCTGGCTATCTGCACCAGGGAGAATTCCACCCTCTGTATATTGTCCACATAGTCAGACAAACGCTACACAATCTTCCTGGAAAATGTTCATTTGAATTTTTAATTGCATTTGTTTTGGTTGCACTTTCACTTCTTTGGTGTTTGTTTTCTCCGACTATTTGATGGGTCAAAGGTGAGTATTGGCCAAAACAGACAATTTTAATAAAATATTGTAGAGTTTTCACAGAAAAAGAATTTTTAATTTGTAATCATGATTAATTATAATGGAAACCCCATTCAAAGAGTTAATGCTCATCCAATCAAAGAACAAGTGTAAACATACCACATGGCCTTTGCATGCAATCAAAACATTCATTTTAATGCTAGCAGACAAGCTACAGGCCAAGAATTATTCCCAGAAACTACTTGGCAAATAATTTTGAACAATAAATAAGTCTGAGAAATGACAGTCCAGTCACAGACAGGAAAAAGAGATTAATGATTGTATAAATTATTCATTATAATTTATTAGCTTGGCTCTGATTCTCAGTGCAGTTTTTTATTTCATTTTTTTCTTAAATTGAAAGCTTCAGTTTATTAACCCAATTAGTGGTCTGATCCAAGATGTCTGAATCCGGTCCAGAGGGTACAACAGAAGGTCCTAAAAATATAGGCCTAAATCTTCCAAAGTGACTAGTGATTTTGCGTGCCTCTGTTATTGGGTGTCCTGGCTTTCAGCGTATTGGCGCTCAGCACTTTCTGGACATCAGGCCTCTTTAAAGTATCCAAACTGGGACCCAAAATACTTAGTCACTTTGGAAAATTTAGACCAGAATATATTACTTTTTGGCAGGACTGGATAATTATGGTTTGCTGAAGGTACTACCCCATCATGCATTGCAGAACAAAGGAGAGTTGTACTATATGTTACATGACTGCATCACAATTGCGTGCAAGTGAAAAATGCTATGCTGCTATACCTGTTGCTTAAATGGTTGTGTTTCAGTGTTGCTGTTTCATCTGTGGAGTTCAAAGTTGTGTTCAAAATTGAATTACTCTAAACTGCCATGACATACAGCAACCTGTGGAAACAGGTTTCTGAGAGGTTTTTAATGGCTCGTGTAGAATGTTGCAGTAGTTTCTGGTACCAGGGGGAAATCAATAATACTCGGGGAGGAAATAGCCACTTTTACTGGAAAAAGGCCACTTCTGAGGTTGTATAGACATTAAGAGAACCTTGGAAGCTTGTTTTGTTATTTAAGACTTCAAGCAAGTGCTGTATTTAATACAGTTTTTAGATCAATGTGGGTTTTGTGGGGAAAAAGTCTGAGTTTAGTCTAGATCCAAACTTTTTGAGACCCGTCGTCCTAATTTTTTTAAAACCAGGATCGACTTCCCCCCCAGGCTACATTCTGTTCCTGCTTGATCCAGCTGTAAAGTTGGACTGGCCTTCAGTATCAAACAAGAAGGAGATTCTGAACTAGGAGGAAGAATGTGGTTCATAAGTCACTACAGTAGTGATTAAGAGGGAATACTGAAAACAGCTGCAGTGGATATTAGGAGAAATCCTGGCCCCTTTGACGTTAATGGCAAAACCTGTCATTGACTTCAAGGGAGCCAGGATATCACCCATTACGTTTTATATGCAACTCATCTTCATATGTGTACGTTTCTTCAGAAAGAGAAAAGATCCATAAAAATTAGAGATGCAAAAAGACCTATAATATCCCAAGCAGCCGACCCTCAGGGGCCAGTGCAGGATTGGTGCCTCCACTGTATGTTCTTGAGCTTTATCCACACTCGTCCAAACTATGGAAGAGAGGAGAGGAACTTCCACTTAGTTCAGAGAAGCTGTCAGACCTTTGGCTTCTTATCGGAATTCCAAACTTTTGAGACTCTGGTTATTAAAAATTCATCAGGTTTGTATAACAAACTTCTTGTGATTTAGCCTTCCCCAGTCCTCCAGCTTTTTGGAGATAGATATAATAGGAGGCTCATAGGAGAGAAAGCACAACATTTTTAGTTAACTGCACAAGCACTCAGTTCCATCTGAGTCTGCTGAGGGCTCTGGAAACCTCTAATCCATACTGAACACAGGTATTAGCATAGTCACTCCCATAATAGCATTACATCACCACCTTTAGGGCTTGTCTACTCTGTTCCTAAATAATTCCATGTGCAGACAGATTTTCACCAGAGAGATAAGAGCTGTTGCTTATTATTCCAAACTAAGATGCTCACCTACCCATTTTACTAAGCATATGCTTCAGTGCAGCTGGCTTAGCCCACTGGGATATTACCATGTTAAGCCACTATGATAGCTGGAAGGAGAGGCCTCAGCTTTCTTTCTAGCAATGAAGCAAATGAACATAACACATTTCTGGTGTAAGACTGTCAGTATTTGAAGGATCAGATCCACAGAAGCATTGTGTGAAAATTCTGATAAACATTCTGCTTATAAACCATTAGTCCCTGAGATCATATTTTCTGAGGTTCTCTTCCCCCGTTTTTTGTTTTTCCCCCATTATCTCTATAATCTTCTGATCTATCTATCTAAAATGTTTTATGCTGCTTCCCATAGCTGTAGTATCTGAGCCCCTTCCATGCAAAGTCAATAGCAAAGTCCCCAGCAGACTTTGTAGTGTCTCTGGCACTTCTCCCTTTCCAGGGTCAAAACTGCTTGAGACAGGGATTTTTTGGGAGGTGGGGAAATTGGGAGGAGGTTGGGAATAGAAGGGGATGTTTATATTATGAGCATCACATATGGTGGAAAGGCTTTCTCAAAGAGGATGGCTTTGCAATGTTTCCTGAAGATGGTCAGACTCTGGATTAAGAAAGTCATCAAGAAAACTGGATACTTTATTCTTAAGGACCTGGTCCAAACTTCCATTGACTTCAATGGGTTTGGAACAGGCCTTAAGCCTAGAAAAGATAGGTGGATAGAGCACTGGAGCTCAAGAGACCTGGATTCACTTCCAGATTTTGTCATAGACTTCCTGTGTGAGCATGGGCAAGTCAATTAATCTATCCTGTGCCTCAGTTCCCCATCTGAAAATTGGGAAAATACCTCCCTATCTCATAGGGGTGGTTTGAGGATAAATTCTGTTAATTGTGAGGTGAAAAAAGCCGTATATGTAGATAGCTCTTCTGCACTATATATCTTGATCCCTTCTATGTCAAATCCCAAACAGCTGCTGTGATAATAAATAATTGAATCTCACAGCTTTACAAATGTTAATGAATTTAGCCTCACCGCAGTAGTAGTATTATCCTCCCTTCCCCCTCCCCCCCCCACAGGAAACTCCACCAGTAATAGCAAGAGTGGAATGGCTGGCATAAACCACCTAGTGGTGTTTTGACCATCCTGTCTAGACCAGCTCTGGTTTAGATGGCAGAGTGGTTAAAATACCAGCAGCCAGTCTAAGCTAACACTTCCTCTGTTGCTACCACCAGTGCAGCTGCATATGTTGTAATGAATTGGTGGGAATGTTGAAAAGTAATGCCACTGCAGACACAGCTAGAAGGGTGAATTGGCTTGCCCACAGTCATGGTTACAGATATTTCAACAAAATGTTTTAAATCTTTCATTTTTAATGACAGTAGAATCTTACTAATGGAATTTACTGGATTTTATGAATTAGCATATAAGTAAAGATCCCAATAGAGAAACCAAGGACACGTGCATCAAATGCAGTTTGTCCATTTAGTTTTGATTATATATAATGCTTTAGAGTACATTAGCAAATGTTGCATATATAATTTGCAAAACTAATGAGGTTTTAATAATATAAGGCCTCACAACAGTGCTGGCTCTGGTGGTGAAACTGCAGAGAAATGGGGAGGTATTGCAATTTCATCGGTGTGAATTATGAAGTGTGAAGATTCTACTGTACAAATCTATGCACATAGGGCCAAATCCCCATCTGGTGAAAATAATTACTGTGGAGCTATGCTGATTTCTGCCTGAGGGTCTGGCAAATAATGTATACAGCTGAATTCTGGTTATATCAATCTCAGTTATCTCAAACTCTCTGTTATCTGAAACTGAGCCATGATTGCTTGTGTATTAATTACAGTGAAAATTCCCCAATTATCCAAAATCTCAGTTATCCAGAATTATTCAGTCTTCTCATTCAGGCCCCAATAACTGAGTATTGTATATTCTTATTTAGTAAACTACAGTACAATAGCAGAGGGGTAAATTGCAATGGTCTAGTTATTAATGGATCACACATTATTCATGGTCCAGTGGACAGTGCACTAAACTTGGATTCTGTTCCTCATTCTACTATTTACTTGCAGTGTGACTTTGAACAAATTACTTTGGGTACATCTATACTTACCTCCGGGTCCGGCGGTAAGCAATCGATCTTCTGGGATCGATCCCGGAAGTGCTCGCCGTCGACGCCGGTACTCCTGCTCCGCGAGAGGAGTACGTGGAGTCGACGGGGGAGCCTGCCTGCCGCGTGTGGACCCGCGGTAAGTTCGAACTAAGATAGTTCGACTTCAGCTACATGAATAACGTAGCTGAAGTTGCGTATCTTAGTTCGAAGTGGGGGGTTAGTGTGGACCAGCCCTCTGCCTCCCTGTGACTCAGTAAAAGAGAGGTAATATTCCTCATTGTGAGGCTGGGGACTACAGAAGAAAATCACTGCATAAGTGCTAAGTATTGTTATGATGTGCTAGATTATGAGGTGCCTTGTGAATGACTATCCTTTCTCCCTTAAAAACAGATTCCACAGATTCCCCTCTTGGTCCCAGTCCAAGGAGGAGAAAGTAAAAGGAAGAACAGTGAGACTGTCATATATTCAAAGTGTATTTTACATGTTTCCTTATTTTAGATCAGTGGTTGTTCACCACATGTGGTGCCAGTGGACCGCAGGGACCCACTCAGACCCAGTGCAACGACGCCTATAGGAACTCCAATCTCAGTGTTATAGTGGGGGCTGAAGGAATTCTTCAAGGTGTGCAGATCTGGAGAGTACCAGCAACCAATACTTACAGGTGAGAGATTCTGTCAGTTTCTTGACATGTCACTGACAAGATTGAAATTTCTCCCTCATCTCCAAATATGTCCTGAGCACATCAAATGACTGTTCTCAGAATATTAGAACTTGGCCAAATGTGGATGGATTTTCATGGGAACAGCAAAAGGCACATCTCTGACCCAAGGGCTACTATCCTGCCAAATTTCAAGTTTGTGATCCAAAGAATGGAGACACAAGAGTGCTTCAAATAAGTGGTTGGAGAAAAAATAATGGCGAAATTGTCTGTTTTCCTTACTTCGTTCTGAGGAATAGCTGAACTGTTATGCTGAAACTTAAAAACAGCCTGAGGCAGAGACCAAGCATGGGAAATTTCAGCTCAAATTATTACAGTCTGGCAACGTTATAAGCAACTGGCAACAGGGGCTTTATATGGGAAGTGATGAGCAACCTTAGCTATATGCATCACTATCAGTCCTACCTCTAATTTAACAGAATCATTGAGATGTGCACATACCAAAATTGAATAAACTCTCCAGGGCAGGAAACATATGTATTTTTTTTGATCTGCGAAGTGTCTATCCACCTCTGAGCCCTGTAAAAACAATGATAATAAAAAAGAAAATGAGAGAGCAAGATTGACAGCTCAAGCAGTTGCACATACATGTGCTCTAACCACATAGGCAAACTCCGCCATTGCCAGCTAAATGACATTAATTTCACACTGATTTCTGCAGCACTTGCTGAATTAACGGAACTGCTCCATTAGTTCATTGAGTAGAGCAGACCTATAAACCCCGGATTAGGTCTGACATCCCATCCACTTGAGAGCAATAATGTGTGTGCAGAGGTCAGCAGCCCAAAACTACCCTCCACCAAACCCGAATTGGTGCTCAATAACCCAAAGCACATACACATCCCACTAATTTCAGTGGAATGATGGGCAGCACAACAGGTACATCAATACACTAACGGGTCAAATTTGGCCCTGAATTTTTTGATTGCTATAAACAAAATTTTTTGAAATGTACAATTTAAGAAATTTTTCCACACTTTTTTAACAAATAATAATTCCCCTACAGTGTGTGCAATGGCAGGTTTGTGCTAGTGGATGAGACCCCAAAAGTGGCGTTGAATAGAAACAAAAGTGAAACTGACTTATCTAAGTTTCCTTCTTTCATTGCCAGAGCTGAAAGAAGTGCAAACTGGTAAATAAACATATACATAGTGTAGGGCCAGAAAGATTTTTTTTTTCATTTTAATAATCTACGCTGTAGCTTATAACATAAAGACATTTTTTTTAAACTTAAATGACTTACTACCAGATACTTCTAATAACTGGGTCCCTTTCTTTTTCTTCTGTGAATTTTTATTGATGTGGATATTTGCTACCCTGAACTAATTGTGCGTGTTAGCGTGACCTTTCCAGGCTTATGCAACAGGCAATTCTGCTACAGAAGTGGTAAAATTAGCAGTTTAAATTTAACAGGCCTGTTTAATTGGCTACACTCTAGTCAACAAATAGAGATAGTCAGACATGGTTCAAAATAATTTAATCACTGGAAAAAACTACTGGAAAAAAATAGTTGTTGTTCCTTGATAAAAGAGCACAGTCAAAATTGAGCCTACTGTAACTAAACAATAACTATCGATTTCTTTTTAAACAGAACTCTCCATTCAAATCAATTATTCTGCAGTGGATTTTTAAGCAGAACTCCCCTCTGAAGATAATAGTAGAGTTCTGCTTAACACTCATTGACACATTCTGATCTTCTATTATTTTTAAACTTTTTTGTTTTTATTGAAAAGGATTTACGGTATTGGGGATGCATCTCAATCCTCAATATCAGGACACCAACAAAATAACAGACAGCAGCCTTGTGAAATTGACTAGGCCAGGCACAAAATCTGCTTGCGCACCTATTACCATGAGGATTGATGATAATGAGAAAAAAAAACTAATGATGTTTTACTCACCCATCAAAAAAAAATGACTTGCCCGGGGTGTGTGGGTGAGTAGAATTTTTCAAGGCTGGCATACAGTGAATATGCATATAAAATATAACCCCAAAGAGGTGAAGCAATAAATTAAACACATAAAACTGACATTTCTTTAATACCACACAGCCCAGGGAAGATCCAAAATTCTGCAGCAACTACAGGCTGATTTTGCCGCATAGTACAGATTGCAAGTAGTGCTAAAATTACAACTCGTCACTGTAGATACCTGTATTCTTCCATGTCTGTAAAACCCCAGCACACTTTTAGGGTGTGTGTAAGTAATTAATGGCTAACAAACTAACTTGGTTCCTGATCTACAACTGGAGTCAGATGCTGTTCCGCACCCGTTAAAGATGCAGCACAGAACTCGCAGCCAATTGGAATGTGTGTGTGGGGAGGGAGGGCGCTATGGTGGGTTCAAACCATCTTTGTGCCTTTCTGATCTTGGACTTCTGCAGGAGCTGGAGCGGCCCCCAGCATAACCTAGATGGCCCTGGGGACATGTCAAGTTACGACAGCTTCCCAGGGCTGCCCAGAATAGCACTGCATGCCGCATCCCTGCCCCTGATATATCCCTCCCGCTCCTAACCCCCAGCATCCCCGCTGTTCAAGGAGGGTCTGTAGAAGTTAGCCTTACAGCTGTCTGCACACGGCCTGCACCAAGAGAGAAAAGACCCTCTGCTGGATATGGGGCTTTTACAGCCACTTTCTGTCACTCCGGGCCTTTCGTCCAGTGTGAAGGAGCAGGAGCAGGGAGGAGACCCTCAGTCCTGATATTGATCTATCTAATACATATTAAAAATCCGCTGGGCACTTTGGACACAAGTTAAAATGTATTTTTGTGACATTCTGTTCTCAAGACACCCAGATCTAAACCATTGCGTTTCCTCTCAGCACCAGCAAGAGTGAACTTTGCTAGAGTCAGCTCCCTGCCACATCAGTCTGTCTGCTTCACCAGTCAATTCCTCAATACTCTGCTAGTCTAAACCTTGATTTGTAGGTAACAGTCACTGAACTCCAGTTCCTGTGTTCCCCAAAGATGTCTCCCTGACGTGTCCACTCACTCGCTTACAGAAATTACTAAGTTCGCTGCCTACAAAAAGACAATGTATACACCTGTCTGTTAAGCTAGATGAAAACTGGAACTCAGTTCATTATAGCAACACTAAGGTAACTTAATAATAAAACAAGAATAAGTTTATTAACAAAGAACAGAGATTTAAATGATATTAAGCAAGAGAAAAAGAGACAGGTTACAAACAAAGCACACTTTCTAGTGACAAACTTAATTTTAGCAAGTTACAAACTTTTCCTAAGCACTTTTCTCACTTACATCAAATTCCCAGCATGTTTAGCCTTCAGACTAGGGGATCCAACTTTCACAGGCTCAGAGGGTGCTGTTCCTTAAGTTCCCTAAATGACAGATAACTAGAATGTCTTTTTGCTCTCCTTATATTGCCCAAAGTCCATTGTCTCTGCCTCAAGAGCCAGGAAGGCGTCCTGGGGAGCAGACTCTAGCCCCTGGTGTGCTTACTAAGTTGTCTCCTTCCCCGCTCATTGGCTTGAGAGCTTTGTTTACCTTATATGTAAACATACTTTTGTTGTCCTCTGCCTGTAATCAAGCCGGCCAGATAAGTAAACCCACATTCCTTTGGCTAGGGCAGGTTGGCTGTATGCACTGCCTCCCAAACCACATTTTAAGACCATATTTCCAGCACAGATATAATTCTTTGTACACAACCTGTACTTACATCACAAAATGATTTTCAAGGACCAGCGTGTCACCAGTTGACACATGATACCTTCCATGACATCTTTTGGATACATATAATGATAAGTGTGTTGGGAGTAGTGAGTGTGTCAGGCCTGATGTGAGTGACGGGAGAGTGGGCCCTTTGGCATTGAGGCATTCCCAGGGTCACAACTTACCAGAATAAAAACAGTTGCAAAAGGATAGTTCAGCCCTCGGCAAAACTCCCCTCTGACATGAACAGCAGCCCCCAGCAAAGCCCACCCTCACCAAAGTTCAGAATAAACAGCTAAGCCTTGCAGCCTGCCCTGAAGGTCAACAGACCGGGGCTATTTCAGTTCAAGGCCCTAATGGGCTTTCCATGTGAGCAAGGAGAGCTGGATTTGGCCCCAGTTGGATTTTACACTGCAAAGACCAGCAGCATCAGGCAAAACAAGACATTATTTTATCATCAGATTTCCTTCTGGAACTTACTATGAAATCTTCCATCCCTTCATACTCAGGGCTATGGAGGAAAAAATAAGACCCAGTCCCATCCGCTATGCACATTCACCCATTTTTAGAACCACACCCTAAAAGATCCTTTCAGTCAGGTTCACTGTATTTTCCACTCTGTCATTTTAACTGGCGCCTGGCACTTCCAAATCCCATATGGGACAGGAATCCTATGAGAGAGGCTATTCTTGATCATGTAGTGGTCCAGCCTTGACATCCTGATCATTTTCCCTGTCCCCAAATCATCTCCATTACTTTCTCCACGCTGCTGCTTATGTGTGGAATGGCATATCCATCCCCAGTTTGCTGAGCCACTGTCCTCTCCTTTCATGTAGATCCCCCTAAAGACTCACATCTTCCTCAGTGTGCACAAGTCATGATATAATAAAAGCCAAAAGGAAGGAAGGCAGGAAGGAAATGTAAATTATTCCCTCCTCTGGATTTTCTTGCCTGCTGTCTGTCTCTTTTAGGCCTCAATCCTGCAAGCCAACACCCACCCCCTCATGCGCCCGTGGTCTCTGTATTGGTGCAGGGATCCATACTATAAAGACTAAACGTTCTGTTTGTTTAAATAGCAATTGGTTCCTTTGATGAATGGGGAGCAGCCATGGTGATGCATCTGCTGCTCACATTCGCCTGCAGCTTGTGAATGAGCCACTAATGGGGTCTCTTGCACGTCCTGACTTTATTGCTTGTATGCAAAATCTATTCAGATGTAGAAAAATATGGCTCCTAATTGCAGCTGATTAGCCCTGCCAGTCTGCCTTGCTTCA